GAGAGGAAAGTAACCAAGACAGGTATCTTGTTCAAAATCACATAGCTCAAGAAATGTCAGGGCTGGAATTTAAATGCAGAGAGTCAGATTCCGAAGCACCGTATTGTCCTATTGAGTATTTCTCTTTGAAGGAGAGATATACTCATAGAAATATGTATGTATATATGATTACAGTCACAGTTTGCTACGAGTAACCACGTTTTTATTGATGATGATGAAGTGAAAGCCTGGAGATAAAAGGATCTCTGCTAAACCATAAGGCACGAGAGAAAGGACCGGGCCCCACATCTCTAGCATCTCCTGCAGTTCACGGAGTCTATGTATTCAAAGCACACTTTTGGTTAGAATTGGCTAAAGTCACATTTAAATCACTATTCACTAACAGAAGAAAAAAGTAATGCGGGACTGATGGTAGATGCTGCTATTTTGAAAATAATGAGCAGTATAATCTTATTTAAAGGCAAAACAAATACAAGAAAAAAATAATCATAAAGGTGTTTTAAATGGTAAGAAGGTCTTAAAAATCTCTACTCAAAAAGGCGGGTAGATATATGGTAAGACAGAACAGAGAGGAGATGGGGGGATGGGGAGAAGAAAGTATCTGTGGGATTCATGGAAGCTCTAAGCTCTGTATGCCCCACTCAGATCGTAAAGCCTACTCTGCTACTACACTGTGACTTAGGCCATATTTGTTTAATTTCCTATGTTCCATAAAAGCCAGAACTACCATCCAAAGAGTTTAGGTCTTAAACAGATCACATGGACCAGTCAGGCAAGGCAGTTATGAACTTGGCCAAGTACGTTCATTCCATTTATACAAAGCTGAAAGCAGAATCTTCCTGACTAGTTACCTCCGATTAAAAGTACGGGTTCTCTTGATATAGTTTTTCATTTCATGTGATAAGCCATTATTTAATGAGGGCCAACCAACGAAGTATTAGGAATAGAAATGTCAGGGGCTGGGGATTTAGCTCAGCAGCACAGTGCCTGCCTGGCAAGCACGAGGTCGTGAGTTCAATTCCCGGTACCAGAAACAAAAACAAAAACAAAGGAATAGAAATGTCATCTAGGAAAATACAGGTGTGTGCTCAACTTTCATGCAAGTAAAAAAGGAAGCAAAGTGAGCTTTAAAAAAAAAAAATACACTCTTGGGAAAGGGGGCTGTAACCCAGGCTTTGAACAGTCACAGGCTTCCTACCTAACATCCAGGCTAAGACCTAGAGGACAATTAAAAGTTGGCTAAGAAAGGATGGGAGACGTTGTCCCAGGCAGGGGCACATGCAGTGCCTTGGAGTGGAAAGCAAGGGACCTTCCAGGGATGCAGGGATGAGAGCAATCAGGGGATACGTGGAAGTCCATGTTTTCACAGACAGTTGCTCAAAGTGTAAGTTTGTACAAATTCATAAATTTCTACATTGAAACAGGAACATAGACAAAGCCTTTAAAGGTAGACTTTTTGACCTGGCAATTTCATTTCTAGAAATGTATCTTACGGAAATATTTAGGCCACAAAGACTTCACTATAAGTAAAATAAACATGTCACTGCTTATAAAATCAAAATGTTGAAAATACCCTCAGTACTCATCTATAAGAACTCATTAAATACTTTACAATGCAACTATATTTCAGAATACTTCACAATAATTACAAGTTGTGTTAAAGATTAATATTTATCAACATGAAAAAATATTCACAGTATGACATTAAGAGCAAAAGCAAGATATGGTACAGTATTATGGTATCAGTCCTACTATAAACATATATAAGCAAAAAAGTCTGCTTATTTCTAGATTGTAGAATATCCATGATGGTTTTAGCTTTCCTTTTTATTTTTGCTTATCTTTTCAATATTTTTCTCAGTGAACTTGTAGTGCTTTCTTATAAGAATAAATGTTAATTGCTTATTAATTTTTTAAAAATATTTGTCTCATTAGTAAACTCACATGAAATAAGTCTTACATTCTGTTCTAGACAAGCGCACTGTGAGGACAAAAACAGGAGTACAGATTCCAGGAAAAATAAAGAGCATCTCTCACACCCGTGCCCATAAACTTTCTTCCTCTCAGCACATACCTGGACAAATCCAAATGGAAAGAAACGCTCCGTCTGTCCCTGGGAGCCACGGTGGAAAGTTTGGCGCCAGTCTTCAATGAGCGCAGGGAACGTGCAATTGTACAGGTCCTTGTTATAATTTATATTGTTCTCCCCTTAAAACAGTCAATATTGTGAGATACATCTGAAGTAGGCTTCACAAATGGCACACACAGTGCTCCCCTCCCCCTATCCATGGCCTGAAGGGTGGCCTTCCCACAGTTGCTTAGGACTGGCCTGGGATTTGATCTGGCCAATGAGCCACCCGCCCATATGATGTAAGCAGAACTATAAAAAGTCTCAGCTTTGGGCTTAGCTCTCTCTTGATGCACCTGGAACCCTGAGACTACTGTGCTGTCATAAATGAATGTGAAGCAGCTTGGTAAAGGAAGAGAGACCACCTGAGGACTGTGGAGCACACGGATTTGGAGGGAGAGGCTATCCTATGTCCTCCAACCACCAACCTGACAGGTCAGAGACATGTTAAGTGTTCCCAGCAGAAATTAGCTAAAGCAGCCCAAACAGAAGAACTAACCTGATAATCAAATGAAGAATAAGCTAAATAAAATTATACAGTTACTATTGTTTTAAGCCACTAATTCGGGGAATGGTTTGTTATGATTTACTATGCAGCAAAAGCTAACTGATACAATGGAGAAAGAGCAAAGTGAACACTCACCCTGGTACCATACCACCCCTTTCAGAGTCATATTCTGTAGTGGATGGATCATAGCATTCCAGAGCACAGAGTGCCCACTGGGGCCACTTTCAGCATCATGTGCAGTGGACCTGAAATCAGACAGATGCACAGTGTCACCAGGAAGCTTGTGAGCGATCACATCATGATTCCTACACTGAACATCTATCTGCTTTCATTTAGACAAACTTCTGATGCAAGCAACACAGAAGTGAACTGGTCTGCCCCATTTCAATTGAAAACATGTGATTAGCCTCTGAATTTCACCTCAAGGCTCTTCCTAAGATAACTGTGCCACTCAGCTTTCTGTGAATTCAGATGGGAGGAGTGATTTATTGTGAGTTTTCACACAGGCAATAAATTTATGTAACTATTATTCAAGAGATGGACACTTAGACTGATTTAAGATTTTTGCCTTTTTTTTTTTTTTTTTTTTTTTTGGTACTGGGGAATAAACGCAGGGCCTTCGCACTGAGCTACAGCCTCAGCCCTTTTTGCATTTTCTATTTTGAGAGAGGATCTTGCTAAATTGCCCAGGCTGGGCTCAAATCTGCAGTCCTCCTGCTCAGCCTCCCAGAGTACTTGGATTATAAACCAGTGCCACCACTCCCAGCTACCTTTTTGCTTTTACAAACAATGCCATGATTATAGCTCAATCGCTGCATACATCCTTCATTATTTCTTTAATATAAATTCTGGGAAATAAAACTGCTGAGTTAAAAAGTACATTTTTTAAAAGCTTTGGACATGTTCCCAAATTTCTCTGTGGAACACATATTTGAATTTATGAGACAGTGAGAATAAATATCCACTTCCCATGTGCTTGGTCTATACCCGCCACAAACCCCGAGGTCTGGGAGACCTGGCTGTAAACTACCTACCACCACCATGCATTGGGTCTGATCTTCCCTCTCGCCCTACCAGAGCCCACTCTTCCAGTCCACAGTTACGGTTCACTCTCTCACAGGCTGTTAGCCGAACTGTCCCAACTATACCAGCAGAGTCCATCCTGCTCCCACAGTGACAAAGTCCAGGATAGCAGAACATATTCTGCTCATCTCTATGCTGGTGTTAGAGCCAGGATTTTTTTTTTGGTAGTACCAGGGACTGAACCTAGGGACTTTTACCAACTATAGTAGTACTTCAGTTCACAAACGCTTTTGTTCATGAACAATTTGGTTTGCAAATAAGCAACTGGCAAAATTGTGTTTTTGTTTGCAAACTGCATCCAGTGATGAACATGATGGTAGCCATCTTTCCTGCAACAACACAAACATGGCCATCTTTTCCAGAATCGTGAAATAAATTACATTCATGAACAGAGATACCACTATCACCCTTTGTCTTCCTCCACACATTCTTCCCGATCCAGCTTTTCCTAGGTAGGCTTGGGCTTTCCTAAGTGATACATTCATATATTCTTGAAAACATGCTAATATATGTATTCTTCCTGTGAGACTGTTTATTCTTTGGGAAAGAGAACACAGTGGTTGGGAGCAAAGATACCAGACTTGCCCCTTCCTAGCCATGTCTCTGAGCAAGTCACTAAAGCTTTGTGAAACTTAGTGTCTTCTTCCCTGGGATGGTAATAGTATCATCACTTCAAAAAGTTGTTGAGAATACTAAAAAACTAATATATATAAAGCATTTAGAACAGTATCTGGCATGCAAAATGCTTTCAGTAAGCATTTGTGATTGCTTTTACTAAGGAAAAGGATCATATTTCCTTCTCGACCATTCTCAGATGATTGCAGTGTTGATAACAATGAAAAGAACATCTTACCTGGGCATGGGTAAATTGTATAAATTCAATACATACTTGGATAGTCAACATATACTTAACTCCCCAGAGGAGACCATGGTGACCCTCCGTCTTGTATAATCCCCTGCTGGGCTTTTCCCTAAACTGCAGAATGCCCTCTTACCCTTTTGTAGGGACTCCACAGGCTTTCAGTGACCTTCCTGATGACCAGGCTTCAATGGGTGTCCCACCCCAGCTGGAGGAGATCAGCCCAATGGGATACTGCAGAGTGTCATATAGGTAACGCCCGAAGAGCCAGCATACTGCTGACATGTACGTGAAGTATCCGTTGCCTAAGTTTTCTGTCCAGAGAAATAGTTACAGGAAGAGAGTCAAGATAAAAGTAGATGGATACGAACTAAAGCTACTAGGTGGGGCCACGGGAAAAGATTGGGTATGGGCCATCCCTTCTGTACCTTTCTGGGTCTTCAAAAGTGAACTGTGATGAAAGGCAATGAGAAGATTACACCAAACCCAAGCCGCTCTTCAAACCTTTGCTAAGGAGAATCTTTTTCAAAGGAGAAAGCTATGGCCTTAGCAGTGGTTTCCTTTTATCTGTCTCCAGCTTTTTCAGTTACCCAAAATCTTTGTTCTCATAATAGGGCTCCCACCCAGGCATAGAGGCAAATGATAACTATCACACTCTCAATCTGAGCACAAATAATCTACTTACATAATCCAGAGCCAAAAGTCTCTAGCCAGGCAAGCAGGCTCCTGTACTCCTCACAATCTAGGAACATTAATACGCTTTTCTCAGTAAGTAACTGGCATAAAGACTATCACGTCCCTACACTACCCTCCCTTGCCAACCTTCCTCTTACCTGCCACTCATTCCCTCTTACCTCTATGAACAGAAAAAAGCCAGCAGACAGGAGGTAGGGAGGAAATGCATATTTTTTTTCCAGATTGTTTTATACCCTATTTTACAGTTATCATAAGGAGGGCACCTGGGTTATGAGAGGTCTGGCAAAAAGAGCAACAGAAACCAAAATCAATTATTAAATTTTCAGCAGTTTCTTTTGCCAATATTGCCCAGGAACCAACATGGGTCAAAGTGAACAATTTCCATGTCGGAAGAAAGCTAAAGAGAGGAGCATGCACATACTTAGAGCTGGCAGAATCAATTCATCCCAATATTCTCAAAGACCAATAATGTATGAGTCACCGGTTTGTACTGTGAAAGACCCAAACTCAGTGTTGTACAATTCTAACACTCTTTAAAAGTTGATAGTGCAGGGGCCTGGGGATGTGGCTCAGTGGTAGAGCTCTTGCCTTGCATGCACAAGGCCCTGGGTTTGATCCTCAGCACCACACACACACACAAAAAGTTGGTAGTGCCAAAATGGAAATTCAAATCAATTTCAACAAATTACAATATACTTGGAATGTACTTTGTGTCAAAACTACTAGAAGACTGGAATACAACAATGAAAGATAGAAGAACTGAATCTGACTCCATAGGTCTTAGAGTTGATGGAATAAGTATTTATCTATAAAATGCATGGCAAAATATGGTAAGTGCCTAAAGAGATACAAAAAAGTATGAAGCAGTTTTAGCACCATAGAGAAAATCCAATGAAAGGCAGATCATAATAAACATAATAAATACTAACTTCCTACCATGTATTTCCATGATCCTTTATGCAGAGCTATGTTGCTGTACCTCACTATAATAGCCTATATAGTATTTCCCTTACTGCTACACTATTAGCTACCTGAAGGCAGGGACTTCATCTTCCTCATGTCTGTATCCCCAGGGTCTGGGATTTAACGAAGTCAGTAAATGTATGTTGCACATCAAATAGGAAATATTCTCAAAGTATTTGGCTGGAGCAGAGACTTTAAAAGGAGATTAGTGGAAGGCAAGACCGGAGGGAAGGTTAGAGCCACATCTTTGAGTAAAGGAAATGAAAATCAACTTTAAAATGATTGAAAATGAGAATGTGTAGTAGGCAGAAGATCAGATCACCCCCCAACATGCAAAGATGGATACACCCTAATTCCCAGGATCTGTGAAGACGTGACTGCCAATGGCTGAAGGATGCTCTATAGAACACTGGGGTTAGGAGCCTGAGACAGGGAGTGCTCTGGATGAGTCCAACCAGTCCAGTGCTCTGGGTGAGTCCAACCTAAGCACATGTCCTCATGGGCACAGAGAGTCTGGAATGGCTCATGTTGAACAGTCTCAATGTTTTTCATTAAAACTGAAAGAAGAGTCATTTCTTCATCACAGGGGGAAAGATTCATTGGTAGAGTCTTGGGAAGAAGTACATGAAATAGTGACCATCAGGAATGGGATGAAGAGGCAATAAGAAATGAATAAAAAGATAGTTCAGGAATAATAAGCAGACAGATAAGAACCAAATCCAGGCTGACAGAGTCCACTTAGGGCTCTGGGATAGTACCTAAGACACGCACATGTTGAGGCACTCACATACCTTTGGTGGGTTTCGACCACGGCAAGTCAACTGCGTTGAGATCCTCCAGCTCCTCCTCTGCCTCAGTGAGAGAGACGGAGAGGACGCGGACAGACTGGTAGGCAGCAGTGTTGGACAGCTCCCCTGTAGCATTAAATATCTAGAAGAGAATTTGAAATGTCATTTAACCTAGTGGGTGGTGAACCTGCCTGCCAGTCTTAGTAAACACTTCTAACCCAATGAGCTCCTTCTGAGCCTTCAATAGACTAAGAGCAAATGAATAACAACCCAAATCTGTATTGGCCGGGACTGAATCATGTAATTCACTCTGACCACAATGTAGCATTTTCCCAAAGAGGGCTCAAATATAATGAAGCCTGTAATCTTAGGCAGATGGAAGGTGTACAGTGGTTTAAACTGAAGAATGCTATCACTTAGACCACTGTGCTACCTTGAAACAAAAATACTTCTACTCTGAAAAAGTATCTGATGATGTAAATTTATGGCAATTAACTTCTTTTTTAAAAAAAATGTTGCTTATGCCAGGCGTGGTGGTGCACACCTATAATCCCAGCACTCAGGAGGCGGAAGCAGAAGGATCACTGCAAGTTCAAGGCCAGCCTGAACTACAAAGTCAGACCATGTCTCAAAAAAACAAACAAAAAAAAACTAATGCTTAGAAATTAATTGATATGGGGCCATAAAGTCCACATGGAGATAGATTTAATCCACACCACATACGAGAAGTGCATTCAAAAGAAACACCCCTGAGAAGTGACGGTTGAAGCATATATATTGGAGTCACTCTCACAGTGCTTACATTCTCCTCTGAGACCTGGGAAGTCACCAAAGAAAACATGAGAGGCATGAAAGGTAGTGTTCAGGGTAACAGCTCAGGGCATTCCCAAAGGACTAAACAAAGAGGATCTGTGCAAACACATGTCACTTTGTGAACCCTCATCAGTTGCCAAGACTGGCAGAAGTGGGTTAGGATTTTTCTGGACAAGAATGGGGGCACAGACTCGAGTAGTCTATTCATTAGTCCAATTAAGCCTCACTCTTCTATGAGTTTAGGCACAAGTGCTATTTCTTTTAATCCTGACTTTTTAGTTGTTTTTCTTTTGTGTCCAAAAGAACAGACTGGCAATATCTTGGTTGTGTGTGCGTGCGTGTGTTGTGTGTATTTCCTCTTGAGTCCTCTCTATTCCCCTGAGCTAGGCCAGCTTCTCCCCAAACAAAGGGCTAAGGGAAGCATCAGGAAGCCCAGTTACCATGCACCTCAGGGAATAGGTACTCCAGCTGAGTCTGGGCCACCACAGCAAGAAGCACAGGAGGCTGGGATACTTTCCATTGGCCGCCATCCACCAAGTGTGCAGCTGGCTCGCTTTCCCTCCCACCCACCACAGAGAATACAGCTGGCCCTCCAGCCCACAGCGGAGGAGAAGGATGGAGCATCCAGGGTGCCCCCACAGAGCATTTCATTGAAATATGCTGCTCCTTGAATAGCCTTCTGACTTGCCACTGAGCCTGCTGTGGTCAATGAGATGGGGAGATGCAAATGACATGGCTCTTTTGGTCACAATGGGAGCCGCAGCCTGAAATGCCTGCCTCCTGGGTAGCAGCAGCTCCGGGCTGTAAAGGTTACTGGTCTTCCAGCTTTCAGGACAGAGATGACACACGGTTTCAGGAAAACTCCACAGGAAATCCAGGCCTTTTCCTTTAGGGTCTTGCCTGGCAAGTTTAACGTGAAATAAACATTGAAGAGTAAAAACGGGCTAATGCGCTCACAGTATCTTCTGGCAGGGAAATTATTTTTCAGCAGCAAGTACCTGTAAAAAAGTCGCCTCCCTTGAAATTCAGTTCTGCACTAAGCACGAAGGGAAGGATCGTGTGTCGCTTCCATGGAAACAGTGGATGAAACTGCTTTCATTCCCACCCACACAAGCTTCCGCACTGGCTGAGAACTCAAGCGCCTCATGGCAATGTAATGCCAGCTTGGAGAGGCAGTTGGGAAGAACATGCCACTTGTCTTTTAGACCGGTTTCTAACTCCAGAGTACTGCCAGGGCAATGGAGTCAGGGCGTTTGGCATTCTCCGGTACTGTTACCAACACATGGAGCGCGATCCAAAAACAGTGCCTGGAAAACTTCCATTTTCAAACTCACATTTGTGTATTATTTCAAGCCAGAACTTCAAAGTCACAGAAATTGTTAACAAACATGGGGGTGGGGAAAATTCCTGCTGTACCTGATGACAATTACTTGTCAAATTGGTATCCCTTCCCAGGATCCCTAGGCCTTTTTGATGGAAGCATTTCCTAGGGGATATTGGCTGCAAATTTAGGAATAAAGAGATTTCAGGAAGATTTTCATTTAAATGACACTTGGTTTCCCTGCTGATGAAAGGGGAAGCCTTACTCCATCTGCTGAGATCAGATTTCATCTCATCAAACACCTCAGTGTAATTATTTTTCTACCAAGTATTTAAATGAGGATGTAAATGAATACCAAGGTATTTGAAGTCATTAACACTGCTGAGGCTGAGGGAGCACACCGCTGCCTCTCCAGGGACCAGACCATTCTCCATCAAAGCAGCTGCTCACTGGTGTTCATTTTGTAACCTTTATACCACATTCTTGAATTAATGAAGACGCATCAAGAATCTATTTCCTCAGAGAATCTTGGTATGGGGTCTGCACGGAGGTACAAGGCAGGCGTGTAAATGTTCACGTGCCTGTGTGTGTGCACGCTTATGCACAAATGTGGTGAAAGACACAGAGAAACTTAAGTATTGACTTCAAGAATTTTGAGACTCTGAAAATTACTTTACCCTCTACTACAGTATGCCAGCAGTCTTAAGGTTGAGGTAATAACTATAAATAAGCTAGCCAGCATAACTCCTATGACTCTTTACTGGGATGTGGTAACAGCCCTTCTCCTCTGGATTTTAATTTTTCTACTTGGAAAGTAAGACTGTAGAGAGAGCCAAAATGTTGAAAAATGGGTTTTCTGTCTGACATTGGCCATCTTTTTCTGAACCTACCTAGAAATAGCCAAGTCTTTAGCCCTACCCTGACTTAGGAGGCGACAGATGAACATTTAGATTTTTCTCCATTTATAAACATCTCACTCAGTGTTATAAATAACATTCAATTTTAAAATTCCACTTTACCCTAACAACAAGATGGGCATACAATCTGCCATTTCCTTCTTTGAATGTGAAGAGTGGTAGGTTATAGTGAGAATCTTACCTCCTCAGAAAAGCCACATGGAGGGAGGGAGAAAAAAGAAAGACACTTGGGTGGGGGAGCAGGGTGCGCACAAGTGTGTATTGGGAGCCTATAAAGGGAAAGCAGTGAAAGGAATAAGAGGGGGTGTCATATAGTACATCCTTCTGATCAAAAACTAAGGTTTTACAGACTGCTAAGAGACTAGAAATATGGCTGTTGGTACTATTAGCACCTAAAATGCTGCCTTGCATGCTCAGTGCATGGTTTAAAACAAAAAATTAAAAATTAACACTTCGATGTTTCAGATGGAATCTGTTTTTCTGTTCCCTTACATTTCAGAGCTCATAGCCCCAGCTCAATACAGAAAATGCCTAGGAGTAAATTCTTGACAGAAAGAATGTGTTTACTCTTAACAATCACGATCTCATTTAGCTTGACAGAAAATGGGATGGGATCCCTTGGCATAGACTGCTATTGAGAAAATGACTATATAGATACAAACAGATCTGGTCCATGCTTTTCTATGCAAACATGGAAGTGTAATTAAAGCATTAAGAAAAATACTGTTTTCTTAAATGACTTAACAACAATTCTACTTCTATACAAAACCATCTTTTCCATCAAGAGATAAAACTTTAATTTTGCATCCACTTAGGCTAAGAGGCCAATCAAAGTTTAGTTTAATAAGCATTTTAATTTATAAGCTTTCATATATGCAAGAAAGGCAGGAAGTAAAAGTAAATAAAATATTAGGAAGATACAAATACAAGAATTAAGAGTCTGAATTAGAAAACGAATGATGAAATAAAAGTGAGACTTTTAGTAGCATTATTTGGTATTAATTTTTAAAAAGAGGGGCTGGGGATATAGCTCAGTGGCATAAGCGCCTGCCTGTCAAGTGCAAGATCATGAGTTCGATCCCCAGTACCGCAAAAAAAAAAAAAATTTAAAAAGAAAGAACTATAAGGAAAAAAAAGTTATATAAGTAAAACAAGAAATCCTAAATTATGTGAAAGGACTTTATTTTATAAATTTTTTGAAAAGAATTGAGCTGAGTCAGAGTCTAGATGCTGAGATTCTTAGACCTCAAAATCCAAATGTTTCTTATAGATGAAGAAAGGCAAGAAAATAAAATTCAGCGGCAAAATAAATTCAGCTTTCCAAAAAGAACTAGGGAAAAATAGTAATCTTTCCATGTTATTAACCTATTAGAGATATAAATCAAAGTATCTAAACACATTTGTGCCAATCAGTAACTGTCAATTTAATCACTAACCTCTTACGATCATTAAATCAAATTAATTAAAATGTGAAAGCAACTGGAACACATCTTAGCACACGGTAAGTACTTAATAAACAGAAACAGCCTTCCTTCTCCTTCTTGTTCCCCTCTACTCCTTTTCTTCTTCATTATTATCATTATCATTTATTGTTGCTTAGACACTGCAAATTACCTGTAAAACAGTCATCTGCATGTTACTCTGCCCACTGCAAAGCCAGACATCTCCAAACAATACATCATGAACTCTCAAGGTAAGGTTCATTGGCCCCAAAGTCTGTTGTGCCATCACTTCAAAAGGTCCACCAGGCTTCATAGGATCCAGTACCACCATCCAGGTGTTAGAGGGTGCTGAAATAACAACAGGCCTCCAAGGAATTAATCAATCCCTTAAAATGAAATTAATGCCTAATCATACTCATTTGTGGCTATTCCCAGCCTCTGTGAGGAGCTGAACTGTATTCAAAGCTAAAGATTGGCCAAATTTCAGACAAGAGGATGGAACTGACAAGAGCAGCAGCATTCTTATCCTTAATCTGTACCAATCTTTATTTTTAACTGAGCCATTTATAGGGAAACTAAGTTACTCAGTTATAATCCTAAATGAGGACAGACAAAAATATGCACAGATTAAAATGCAAGGGAGTTTAGTAAAAAACAGAAAATAGAAATTCTTGTTACACTATCTGTCAATATTAATACAATCTAATCTTTCCAATTTACACAGCACCCCAAGCTGACTTGTAATTATTCAATCAAATGTGAGCACAAGTTAGAGAAAACTGTTTATAATCTGAAACTTCCCCCTACAAGGCTTAATCACCTTTACTGTCAACTCCCAGATCCTCCCATGTTCTAACAAGGATCAGTATACTCCAGCAGCTCTGGATTCTACTATCAAGCAAGCAAGCACAGAAAAACTGACATACCAAAAAGTGCGAGGCACAGAAACCAACCTCTCTATGAAAAAGATATTTTTATTTTCCCAATTAATTATCTTCAGTGTTATTTACAGTACTTAAGGTTTTTGGACTCAGTTAGGGGGATGAGAAGCTATTCAAGACCCCCCTTCAGAAACTCGTAGCTTATTCTTTCAGAAGCATCCCTGCCATCTTTCTGCCTCCCAGCCACCAAACAGATGACTGTTGCCAAGACTGTATTCACAGATTTAAAGAAAACACCTTCAACATGGCAAAAGTACACCTAAGAGAACTAAGGAACATGAATAAAATTAAAGAAAGTGGGAAAATAGAAAAGATAGAGAAGTTAACATTTTAAAATATCTTTCAAAGAACATGAACTGATTTACAGTTTGTGCCTATCTAATTAATTCAAAGGGAAACAACGGTAACAACTGGAAACAGAGCACTCTGAAGTTATTATACCCAACCTGTGAGATATAATAATTATAAAAATACCACCCAAGAGCCTACTAGGAGCTAAACACTGTGTAAAGTTCTTTCTAATCGGCAAGAACTAAAAAGCATGAGATAGCTATGCACATTTTAGGGGACTGGTAAGAGCTTAAACCAAAAGGGATTGCTTAGAGTTCTGGACGAAATGTCCAATCCTCCCAAGGCATCAGTGGTCCTCTAAGAGCAAAACCAATTGAGCTTGCTACTACCATCTCTAAGGGGTCCAACAAGCCAGCACCAAATGTTAGCCGTTGTTTTTCTGTCACTAATAGCCAGACACCAGCATATTAACTATATAATTCACCTAAACCAGAAAAATCACTGTTTTGGAAACAGTGGGCAGCTAGTACAGATTGTATCGCACAGGTGTGATATGCTCCGTATGGCTCACACTTCTGAGCAGGCAGACACTCCAATCTGTCCTAATACAGTCTTGCCAAGGTCTTTCCAGGCTTCCTGCATTGACATATCTTGCTATGGCTCTGTCCTTCCGCAACCAATATCGCTAGTTTGTAGTGCTGAAGTCAAACCCCAGAAGACCTTCGATAGCACTTTTTCTTAGCCTTCTACTGCTGCTAATACAATGTATTCCTAGCCACTACGGTTAATCAGGCATTTACTCTTAGACTCAGTCCAAGCTACATGGCCACTGAAGAAAACTACCCTCACCAGAACTTCTGGAAAGATTTGCTGCCCAGTAATAAAAAGACAGGAAGGCTTGCGGCAAAACAAAGCCACACCATCCTACTACAACCAGAGAATGTGGTGGTGCCAGGAGGGCCGAGCCTGAAGTGAAGTAGGAATCAAGACTCGAGTCTTTTTCCCAAGAATTTTCCCCTCACAGAAATCTGCTTTCAACTTCCTCAAAGCCCTCCTCGAACCTCCTTCTGTGCTAGTTAATCCTTGAGTTCTTCTGATTGCTAGCTCTTCACCGCTCCCATCTGATGAAAGAAAAAGAAGCCCTGACACAAGGACGACTGTTAGAAGTTAACTTCCTGTCAAAGCAGGAGAAACCGGTACTCTACAGAGGCTAGTAATTGTCACACTAACTCAGGGACAACTTGTGTAAAATGATAGCTTTGCTCCTGTGTAAATGCTGTATGTGAGGGAAAGCAGCACCTACCAAGATGGGCCTTAGACCAAAGGCACAGGTGAGGTTACGATATAAAGGCAAAAGCCACTGTGGTGCACTAACTAATGGTCAGCTTGTCACACCCAGCTGAACTGAATCAGTGTGGTGCTGGGGTGGAAGGTCCACCTAAAGGTTGTGGCCAACAGCATAAAAAGAGAACTGGAGGGGAAGATGGTGTACTATTGATTCTCCTGGAGGAGCTTGTCGTGCTGGTTTTCCTGATATGAATTTGGCTGCTATTATCGGAGGAGGTCGGGTCCTCACTGTTGCTGAAGATGGCTATGGTTCTCTTCGGGGAGTTCTGGTCCTTCCCTTGAGCATTGCTGCCTGGCTCCAGTGCACATCCTTCAGCCTGGTGGCACAGATCCTTCCTCCGCTGGCACAGACTTTCTAGCTTCCACCACTGACCTTTGGGCCTTCCCAGTACAGGTCCTTGATACAGACTTGCATGAGACATTGTCATGGGCTTATGTTCTCCAGCTGGACTTGTAGAGGACACTGCCATGGACTCTAGGTCTTCAACTGGACTCATGCGGGACACTGCCATGGGATTCCAGGCCCTCAGCTGGATTCTTTGGGTCTCTAGTGTGTGTACCAGATCTCCCATATTCTTTTGCATTTGTCTCTTTGGGTGAATATTATAAAATAATCCTATAAAAATGCGTCCTATATTAAATCTTTTCCCTTGTAAACCCTGACTATAACAACCACCATGTTCCACAAGAAGAAATGATTTGTTCTTGGCTTGTCAGTTCAGTACTGGCTTGTCAAAGGGGAGTTTGCCACAGGCAGTGAATTCCCATTAATAGCTTTTAGACACACGATGATATCTGCTAGGTTGAGTCCAAATAACAAACTTGAGCCACTAAGCACGGAACAGTTCACCATCATTAGATTCAAGTTCACCATCCAACAGCCTCTCTGCTGATCCTGACAAGCTTTCTGAGCAACAGTTGCTCTTGCACCTCCTTCTGGGCCCTAATCACTTACTGTCTTGTAATCTCTTACCAATCCAGGCCCAGGCTTCTGTAAATTCTCATTTTCATTGAATTCAAATCTCCATCCCCTTGTACTCTTTTGTCTATCATCTAGAAAGATTAATTTCCTGCCTTCATTATACAGTGACTTAGAGTGCTTACTGTGTGCCAGGCACTCCATCAAGTAAATGACAGAAAATAAGCCCCAGCCCTGGGTTACACTGATGAAAAAGTCATGCAAATTGACTGGGGCTTTATGTTTTCATACAGAGCAGCATATCCGGTGGCCTATTTCTGACTATTGTTCTTCATATTCCAGCCAAGGGTATAAGAAAAAAAAAAAAAAAAGGTACTGTTTCCATTTTCTCTCCATCTCCCCAATTAATTCCAGCCTCAAAAATGGGAAAATCAAATAATCAAAAGGAACAAATGAAAATAATTTTGTCTACAGACATGATTAGTCATAATGCACTTTCCTGCTTTTTACTTTTTGCTATTTACATCAGATGTTAATTACTTTGCAGGTTACTGTGCCAGAATCTCAGAAGCCAACAAAAGAGAAATTATCCATGACCTTTCCCTTCCCAAGAGGAAAAACGTGCAGCTGAAAGAGGCAGCACTGTTCACTGCGCTGCCCAGAACCCCGGCTCTTCAGCTGCAAAGTGTTTCTGCGGTCTTTGGAAGTGGCCTGAAGATGAAGGCCGCATTGCTACATCTATTCTCGATTCTAAATTTAAAAACTACCTATTATGGTTTCCATCTAGATGTCCCCCCAAAGTCTCATGCACTCATAGGTAGGGCTTTTGGGTGGTGACTGGGTCATGGGGGCGTGATACATACTCATCAGTGGATTAGTCCACAGACAAGTTTATAGCTCAATGGGATGTTGGGAGGTGAAGCCCAGGCGGAAGATGCAGGCATGGCCTGGAAGGGTGTGGTGTGTCTCCCTCCCTCTTCCTTGGCTTTCCAGTTCCCTGGCACCGTACCATGAACCTGTTTCTCCTCCACCTTGCCTCTCTACCATCCCACCCTGCCTTGGAGTCAGTCAACTATGGACTGAAACCTCTACAAACTATGACCCAAAATAAACCTTCCCACCTTTAACCTGTGGGTGCTGAATACTGTGTCCTAGCAACAAGTGAGGTAACGAAGACACTACCACTACCAAATGTGAATGAAAAGAAAATAAAGCTTAAATACGTTTTTGTCAATAAAACTACTCATGCAAGTTACTTACACTACTGCATGCTGTGGCCGACACACCCACAGTAACCTGCAAAGTCACAGCCTTGTATTACTCCCTCCTTCAAGCGCAGATTGGGACTGGCTTCCACTCAACAGAAAATGGCAAGAGGGAAGATGAGATGTCACTATGATGATTACATGATGGTCTATGGAAAAGGTGAACGGATTTTTGGGGTTAAAGTCCTTCATTTGTTTACTCTCAGTGAATAAAAAGGTAGGTTAGCTTATTAGGGCTGACCTAAGGTGATGCTTCTAACAGAGGGTCTTAACATTAGAGACATGAAGTACACCCCTTGAGGGAATGAACTTTGCAAGCAACCTAAAGGAGCCTGGAGGTAGGTGTGAGTGCCCTCCTCACACCTCCAGCTGAGAACATGGCCTGGCCAATGCTTGGCTTCAGCCTGGTGAGGCCTGAGCCGAGAATCCAGCTATACCTGCGATACCCAGCTATACCATCAGACCTACAGGGGCTGTGAGATAATACAGTTATGTTGCTGTAAGTGTCCAAGTTTGTGCTAACTTGTTATGCAGGATAGAGCTCCAATAAACATGCCTCCACTGCACCAGGGGCAGGAGCATTTTAGGCCTTTTACATTTTTCTAAGTTAGAAAAATGAATCCATTATGACAAATAGGCAGATACAATCTCCTCCTATCACCTGCACATTTACCCTATTCTCCCTGCTTTTCCTCCTTGTGTCTGACAGAAGCATCATGCCTCCCTTGACAACAGAGTTTGAACTGACCCAGTACCTGATCATGTTTGCAATTATCCTTCCAATGCCTGAGTGTTAGTCTGCCTAACAAATCCTTTTCTGTTGTTAAATCTCGCTTTGTTCCCACTTTCTAGGTCATAGGTAACAAGTTAAATATAGGCAGAGGTAAAAGAGGAAATTGAGGTAGTCTGGCTGAAAAAACCAAGAGTCCTAATCATATCTAAAATAGAAGCCAACCATCCAGTAATATCCCCTGTAGTGTCTCTCTTGAGAGATATTTTCTTGTTTGCTGTATGAATTTTCTTACATGTCTACCTTCTTTATCCCAAATAACACTTTCTCCATTTTGCTTCATGGAGGGGAGAGAACTAAATTTTCACTGGAGTAGACCTGCTGACCTCTACAGACTTAAAAACCTTTGTTCTATAGTAAATAAATGTGGGAAGTCAGATAAATAGATCTGCCCACACCATCACCAACACTATCAACCTCTTTTCCTGGGAAATTATCAGCAGTCTATGAATCACTTCATTCCCTTAAGTTTTGCTGGTCTGAACACTGATATGTCACTTTTTGGTGGAGCAACTAGAGCATTACTTGAGCCTAAACCACTAAATGGGAAAGGACAGCGTGAAAGAATGAGTTTGTGCGGAGTGAGCACCATTTGTATTCATCTTTGTGTTTTCCTAAGGTTTCTTGCTTAGCGTTTTACACACATAAGCCCATGGTAGATGTTTATAAAACTAAACAAGATAAATGAGCAAGTTCACATTCACTATAAAGGAAGCTCATCTCTTAAGGATTACCTATCATTCTTTCCCATCTAACCTACCCTCCTGTTTTGTCCCTGCCCACCTCAAGTACTGGTCCTGAAGCAGGGGGACTTCTAAAAGTAATGCACAAGAACAATTTAAAAACTGAACTGCTACATAATATCATATATTTCTGTATTTCTGTATCTATCAGTACAACAGTATGTATTCTCTGTCTCCTGAATATTTACTGGTAACATTATTTGCATCACAAAGCCCCTCTCTTATATTTGAACCTCAACAGTTCTTTGGATTTCTAAACCAACATCATGTACTCAGAGGGCCTCTATTTGCACATAGCACCAATAGTCCAAGAATTCTTCATTTTCGGTACATCCTGCACGTCACCAATAGCATTTACCCCAACAGACAACTATGTCTTAACTATAGTTTCTCTTTACATCTCTTAGTTTCAACCAACAATATTTTGTCTGAAAAAGTCTTAAAAACTCAAGAACTACAAAAGCTTACCTTGCAGCTATGTCTGGCACATGGTATTTAAAATGCTTGCTGAATGGTATTTGCTGAATTATAAAGACACATCACCAGGATCTGGATGGCTCTGGATAATCAGTTCTGTATGCTGACAAAACTAATGAAGAAATTCTTCTTTCCAGGGGCCAGTAAAATTTCCACCAGCTTCCCTGTCTATATATACAAATATTCTAGTCACTGTGCAAGCCACCAACTCTGTAATTAACTCCACCACTCCCAGAGTAGTCTCCCTGCTTGTTGTCACTCTCTACATCCCATCGCTTTAGAGCGACCTCTAAGATCAGCTCTAAGCACACCTTCCTGAATCCAGAGACTTCTTGCTTTGCCTCCTGCACACGCTGTTTATACATCTTATCTCTTTTGGACAGAAGCCCCTTCATAAAATCTCCCTGCTTGAGAAAGCTGCTAATTCTCACCTTCTTGAACATTCATCTTCACAGCCACTCTCTTGAGTTAAGCTCTCATCGTGTACTGCCTGGATTCATAATAGTCTGCTAACAGGTCCCACTTCCTCTGTCTTACTGATCTCTAATCCATCTTCCACAGAGCTGCCAATGCGATCTTTCTAAAATAACAATCTGACGCTTATAGTCCCAGCACTCTGGAAGGATGAGACAGGAGGATCGCAAGTTTGAGCCCAGCCTGGGCAATTTAGCAATTTAGTGAGATCCTGTTTCAAAAAATAAAAAGGCCTTGAGATGTAGCTCTGGGCAAAGGCCCCAGATTCAACCCCTGATGATACAAAAAATAAAATAAAATACCACTCTAATCTTGTTATTTACAGTACTGGATTAAACCCAGAGCCTGAGCTATATCCCCAGCCCTTGTTTATTTTTTATTTTGAGATAGGATCTGGTTAAACTGCTACATTGCCCAATCTGGGCTCCAACTTTTGATCTTCCTGCCTCAGCTTCACACGGTATTGGGATTACAGGCATGCACTACCACACCCAGTTTGTCCTTACTTACTGTAGCAGATATGTCACTTAATCATAACTGCTTATCATTTTCCTGTCTTTTCCTCTAAGCTACAAGCTTCATTAAAGAAGGGGCCACATCTGCTTTGCTCATCACCGTGTCAGCCGTATCTAGCACATAGTAGCCACTCAATAAATATTTAAGTGACTGGTTAAATAACAGTAGTGACTGGCTAAGTAACAGCAATAATGACTGCTAAAACTTATTCAGCACTTACTGTGTGCTAGGCACCGTTCTAATGTGTTAATTCATTTAATCCTCGCAATAATCCCATACAACTGTCTCCACATGTTAAATAACATGTCCAAGGTTATGCAGCCAGTAAATGAAAGTCAGGAGCTGACTACAGACTGTGAATTCTAGAGCTAAGTTCCTTAGCTATACCTCCTTGCTGCCTTTCTTTTATGTATGATTCAGCTCAAACATCACCTTCTTCAGGAACTTTCCCATACCACCTAATCTGAATTAGATGTTTTTCTTCTGCGTGCCATGACACTCCAAATTCACCTTTATCATTATCACACTACTACATGACTTGGTGTCTATTCATATTGTTCCATGCGCTTCTAGAACACAGGGACTCTGACTGAGCCTTATTTTTCTTTATGTCTTTGATGCCTACCACACAGCAAATACTGAAATAACTTTTACAGACGGATGGGTGAGTGGATGCATGGATGGACGGATGGATGGATAGACAGATGGCCTGAGAGGGAGCACAAGCATTAATTTTCAATTAATCCAGTAGGTGGCAGAAGAAGACAATAGCTGAACAGAGACTGGGCTGCCTTACCTTTCACACTGGTCACTTTCCTCATGATGGTGTCCTGACCTTGGCACAAGGTCACTGTCACCGTGGCTCCAGGTATACCAAAGCCCCAGATCACTGCTCCAGCTGGTTCCTTTTGAAGCACCATATAATTATCAATGTATGAAGCAAAGCGGAAATCAATACCTAAAAAATTTAACGAACACTTAGGGAAGCAACATTAAGGAGATTTGTTACCAACTGACTCAGTGGAACAGCCAAGAAACATATAGTTTTTATACAAAAGAATCTGAGTATACTCAGTCCTTTTAACCTCAGACTAGACCTTATTTCTCCTAATCAGACAAGCAGCATAACAACATATTCCAACAATATGCCTCATAGGACAAAACGATCATTAAGGAAAATTCCAGCAGCCAGGGGCAACCATTGTACCACCACACCATCTTCTCCTGTTCTCAAACTTGGCTCCAGCACTTGACTTTCTCCCCACAAAATCACTAAAATGCACCTTTCATGCACTCCACAGATGGTGTTTATGTGAAAAATAAACCACTTCCCTCCCAGATTTTCCATTTACCACACCCACTCCTGGTAGCTGGAAATGAAGAGATATGCCTCTCTCCAACAAAGCTACTCTAATATTTTCCCCCCTCTTATCTCCTCCCTTCCATCCTACTAATGCTAATTTCCTTCAAATAATTCCCCTTATTTTTGTTTTTTGATCACCCAGTATACTGCATTTATGAATCTCCTTGGCGAGTCTGCTTTCTTCACAGATTAATTCAGATAAATCAAGACACAAAAATAAGGCCAATGAAAGACAGGTCAAAAGTCTTTTAAATAAAAATCTTTTTCACAATTATATCTGTTTCATAAGCTAAATTATACAAAAAGAAAAAAGGAAGCACACTTAAAACTGCATTTTTTATGTTTCTTGAAACTGCAATCTATTCTAGAGAATCACTAACAAGACTGAATAAGAACTCACTTTAACGAGATCATTCCTATTTTTAACTCCAGCCTATACTGAAATATTTTTTAATAACAAGCATCAGTCCAAGTGATGTCAGTGAGCTCTTTACCAATTCTTAACAAGAAAAAGAATAAAACTATGTCCATGGTTGTCTGAACAAATAGACACCCCCCCAAAAAAATCCCTAAAAGAAAAAAATTCACAAAATTAAGGATTTTTTTAAGGGTTTTAAGCTACCATAATAAGCAGGAAAGAGAATTAGAATTAACAAGGCTGACATTTTCCTTCTCAGAAGTTACAAATGCGGACGAGCCCCTGAGACTATATTTAACGAGGCAGTATAGTTAATGGGGTCTCCTCCACAAGCTTGGCGGCGTATGTTAAACTGCTCTGTGAATAATAGCCCAGACCCTAAAAACTCTTCAGCTCACTCTCTCCCATGAGCTAGTTCCATCATGAAACCTACATGATAACCAAAGATCACCCAGAAGGCCCACCAGGCTGGAAATAACAACTACCATGAGCAAAATACTCTATTGAAGAGTCCACAACTGCCAGAATTGCATAAGCAGGTTGGCAGCCTGCTGGGGGAAGCAGGAGGTACATGTGTAGGAGGGCCCTGTCTTGGGTAGGTGCTTTAGAAGGAACAAAATAAGGTATAAATAAGAGCTCAGTAGAGAGAGGGTAAAGTAAAGGGATGGCGAGGAAAAAACGGGCTGCTGCTTGCCTATCTGTGTGTACAGACAATAACCCAAAGGCTGGGGAAAAACCTTTACAATCCAGTCTGTTCACCAACACACACTTGCTGAGCCTCTGTACATAGCTTTATGCTGGCCTAAAGAATTTTAGAGATGGAAAGTATGTTTATAATCATGGTGTAATCACATTAAGATCAGGAAGTATGATCATATTGCTGATCAACATACTAAGACCCCAGCTTGCATGTTCATTAATTTCAGCAAATATTTATTGATATGTAGTACGTGCTATTTTAAGCATTGGAGAAATAACAGGGGTAGAGAAAAAACAAAAATAGCAATAACAGATAAAAAACTTTTGCCAGCAGAGAGCTTACATTCTTCTAGAGTTTTACTATGGCAGACACACTGCAGACACTAGACTTCTTGTGTTTTTGTTTTTCTGGTAACAGAATCAAACTCAGGACCTTGCATTTGCCAGGCAGACACTGTGCCACTGAGCTACATCCTCAGCCCTGACACTAGACTTTGACTGGCCTCAGATCACAAGGTCATTTCTGACAGGGCTAAAACCAGTCACCTGATTCTAAAGTTATCTAACGTCCACTGTGCAGTGGTTAGATAATGATGATAAGTCAAGGAAAAATCATATTCCCTGTCCTTAAAAAAGCTCAAATTCCAAACTGATTAGACAGTGGAACATCACCAAGAATTGAGCAACAGACAAAAAGATGAGCAAGCAAGACTGTTGGGTCATGGTGACACATGCCTGTAATCCCAGCACTCAGGAGGCTGAGGCAAGAGGATTTTTGTGAGTTCGAGACCAGCCTAGGCTACATAGTGAGCTCAAGGCCAGCCTGAACTGCATAGCCAGACCCTGTCTCCAAAAAAAAAAAAAAAAGAAGAAGACTGTTCGGTCAAACACAAGACACAGTATCTGAACTTTTTTTAGGTCTTCAATTTCTCCCTTAATTTGAGGTTGGAATGAAATACAAGAGTGAGTGCTGTGGGACAAAACATTACAAGTGGACCAACAAAACTGGGATAGTGATCACCTCCAGTGGGGCCTGGAAGACATCACTGAGGAAGTCCACTGTTGTCTCAACAAAACTCACTGTCATAGTTCTCAAACTGGGTGGTGAGCTCATGGGTCACTGCACTGTCTCATTGTTACATGTAATTTTGTACACCTCAAATATTACATGATAAACACGGGCAAAGGGGGAGTGGTGGTTTAAAGAAAAGATGCCAGGAGAGGCAACCAAGTGAGAAAGAAGAGAAATTCAGAGAATGGAAGAATGAATGAAAATATAGACAGAATTAATGAAGGTGATTGAAATGACCCAAAGGAGGAGATAAATACTGATATTAAAGTTAATAACTGTTTTTTTTTGTTTTGTTTTGTTTTGTTTGTCTTTTTGAGACAGGGTCTCCCTATGCAGTTCAGGCTGGACTTGAGCTCACTTTGTAGCCCAGGCTGGTCTTGAACTCGCAATGATCCTCCTGCCTCAGCCTCCCCAGTGCTGGGATTACAGGCATGAGCCACCACAACCGGCTTAAAGTTAATAACTGTTAACAGAAAAATCTAATAAAACCATGGCCTTATTCTCTTTTTTGTGCTTTCCTCATGTAACAGGCCCCAAAGGTCGACGAGTAGGAATAAGGAAATGACAAAGTGCTACTAGTTTGGACAGTTCAACACTTTTGTCGAACTCTTAGAAGACATGGGCTGCTGTTTGTCTGAATCTGGTATTTTGCAGGTGCTTAAGTAAATTAGCAGCGATGCCATTCTCCATCCTCAACTTTCCTTTCTTTTTTCTTTTCTTTTATTTTATTTTTTAATTTTTTTTGGTTACCAGGAATCAAACTCATGACCTCGCGCTTGGTAGGCGCTATGCCACTGAGCTATATCCCCGTTCCTCAATTTCATTTGTTAACAGGGACCTTGGGGCTGCACTCTTCCAGAAGTTTGAAGGAAAGGGTGGGGGGAATATCACTTTACTCTGTATTAGCAGGCAGATTCCTTCTTCTGGCATCTCCACCCCTACCCAGTGTCCAGCTCAGGGTATTCAGGTGACGGCCTCTGACCTGCACAATAACCAGAGTGAGTCAGCCTCCCCCTCCCCCAATGCCACGCATTATTACTCCACCATCAGTATCTGCAGACAGCACCAGAAATCAAAGCTGAGCCTTAAATTATTCTGAGCTAGTGAGGGGGCTGTATCCCTTAGCCCTAATAACCACTTAAACTAGTGAAATGTAATTCCCGCAAGGAACCCAGCCTGATGCAAACCCTCCCCGAGGGCACCACTGAGGGGGCAGCTGCTGAAATGTTTTGGATGACTCAGTCACCTGTTTTCAAATATTATCTAACTAGCTTCGCCCCCTTCCCTCCGAGCTCCCCTGAGGCTCTGGTCGGGGGCCCGTCCGCACCTCCCCACTCGGATCCTCGGAACCCGCCCCTACCCCTTAGGCGGGTGTGGAGGGAGGGCGGGAGGAGGTGGAGGAAGCGGAGGAGGGCTCGGGGCCTGCAGACACGCGCGCACCAGGCCTGGTCGGAGAAGATCCCTTCCCGACCTTGGGAGGGGAAGCGAGTGGGGATCTCGAAGAGGACGCGGGACTTCGGAGCCGGAACAGGCTGAGGGGCCGGGGTATGGCAGGGCCGGTCTGCCTCACCTGCACTTCTGTCCGCCCACAGGATTAAAGGGAGCACCAGCCCAAGCACAGATCCAGGGGCGACCATACTTCCGCGTGCGGTGTCCGCAGCTCGGGAGCTGCGACCGGTGCCTGGAGGGGCGGGGCTTGCTGGGCTTTGGGCAGGGTCTTTGTGGGTGGGCGGGGCCATGGTCACCGACCCCGCCCTCTCCCGCACTCAGTCCGCGAAACCTACTGCGGCCACAGAGCGAGGTGTCACTCTCTCCTTCTCGGCCGCCGTAGTTTTTAACAAAAAACGGTTACCCAGCAACGAGAAAAAACAATTCTAACCCTCGGCACCAGCTGGGAGAGAAAGAAGAGGTAAGGTGGTTCCCCCACTTCCTCTCCAACACCGAGACCACGCCTTTTCCCTTTGTTTCTCGTGTTGTCGCAGCGTCCCCAACACACCTGGGGCCCCTGGAGCAGATTGGGAGTCTGAAATCCTTGACTTGTCTTCCCTTCCCTCCGTCCGTCCTCATTCCTCAGCTCAGTTCAGGGTCTCGCTGGTTTGTTTCACATCCCTAAAATGATTCAGTACCTAAAAAGAAAGAAAGAGAGGGAGAAAGAAAACCTCCACAGATTGGGCCTCTTGAAACATTCTGTGCCCGTCCTGGACACGGGCCATCGCTTCGCCCTCGTTGGGCATCGACACACACTTCATATAAACACAACAGGCCCTTCAGTATTCTTTCCACACTCAGTAGCCCAGCCCACTGCTTGACGTCCAGCCTTTGTACCCCAAGACAGGAGGAGAAGGCCTGGTCAAGACCATACCAGAAAATAGGATTCCACAAGTTTAGAGGCTGGATTTTCAAAGTCATGACCTCCTTCCCCTCCTTAACTCCACTGCAGAGTACAAAGGTGCTTCAAGACACATAGGTCATGCTTGATAAATGGCAGCTGAGGAAAAGATGGTGACTCTTATTCAACAAGTTAAAAGAATTTCTAGAAGCAGGACTAGTTCCTACTTTTAAATTTCTTATTTTAGACCTTAAACGGGATCTTCTGAGCAGTTGATAATTTCATTAAGGTAGCTTTATAACAGTCATTCACACTAGATACTTATAGGATAGCAAAAACTGCCCTCAGCTTTTCAGGACAGAAAGAAAAAATATTGTGTGTCATAGTGAACACCCTGGTTTTGTAATTTTTAGAAAATTACTTAGCTCATTGAATGAGTCTATATTTGTGATATTCTAATTCACAATGAAGAATGCAAAATACTCTGGAAGAAACGGATGGACTTGGGTTCTGTGGGGAGGAAAGGAATTGAAGTCCAGAAAATTTGGGCCACAGAAATAATTTGTTGTCCTAATTTTGATTATATAATTAAAATCACATAGACTTAGAGAGCCCTCTTTACTGAATCTGTAGGTACCACAGGCAGTTCTTCCCAAGAAGATGTCGATTCCATTCTCCAACACCTACCTCCGAATTCCACAAGGATTTGGGAATCTTCTTGAAGGGCTCACACGTGAGATCCTGAGGGAGCAACCAGAAAATATACCAGCTTTTGCAGCAGCATATTTTAAGGACCTTCTTGAGAAAAGAGAGAGTAAGCTTTTTAAAATAAGAGACTTAAGTATTTAGTTATGGCAAAACCATGTCCACTCTACAGAAAGCCTTTATGAAGCGGGTGACTTCAAGTAACAGTTCATGCTATTTGAAACACTACCTACCTCTTGGACAGCTCTTAAATTAGTTTCACATTATTCAATATTGCTAGTTTATCCTCCTGACCTTTTTCATTTTATTTCTTAGGATACAATATGGAAGAGGACTGCAAAAGTCATACAGTATACCCTCTACTTTTTAGCAGATTGTTCTTATGCATCTCCAATAGTTGACTGTCTATTCTTTCTGAGGAGATAATTTGCAGTTTTCTTTAAATTTTGATTCTTCTCATTTGAAAGTATTATAAGTGTTATAAAAATAATTCAACACTCCTTAGATTAAATAAATTGGTATTCACTTGGGAATATGAAACTGTTCTTCAATAAAGGCACAGAGACAAACTGCTTTGAAAAGTGAACTGCCACAGCTTAGGAAGGTAATTTATATTCTTTATACTCTCAAAGTCCCTCCTGCACAGAGACTAAGATCCACACTGATAGTACTCTTTGGTTGAGAGCCAAAGCAAAGTTCCTTCACTTCCATAACTAAAACTTTTCAAATCCAAGGTCTTAAAAGCTCATGACTATCAGTACTGACCCAGTGGTCAAAATGGGAATGATTAGTTTCAACTTTGTTCTGAAAACCTATTCATGACTAGAACAACCACTTTTGTATAAGCTGTTACTTCTTTTGATTATGGTATTCCAACAGAGTGATAAAGGCAGCTAGAAATAGCTATAGGCAAATAGACATTCCATTATAAACCATTTCACAGAGGGAGGAAACCAACACAAAGCCAGAATTAAAACAACACCCATACCCCCCTGTCCAGCTCCAGCCCTTTGGCCTGCCCCTACAGACCTCAAAATTTCTGCCAGTTTCCTATTACTGGTCTTTTTCAAATCCATTCAGGGTGGATATTTGTTGTACAATAGGAAACTTTAAGTTCCACTGAAATCATTTGATAAACAGTACTTAAGAGGAAAAGGTTACTGAGATAAATCTCTTGGAAAAAAAGGTGAGTTGTCATCAATATTACCTTAATTTTGTTATTATAACATTAATTTTACAGATCCATGCAGTAAAAAGTCTTTAGTCATTTGTTTAATTTTAGAACTCAGAAACATCCCGTTACAGAAACATTTGAGTCATTGTTACCGGGTCACGGTAATAAAAGCAATTGATGATTAAGATTAATAGCCTCAGAATGCTAGCTCTCTAACTAGTAAACAATGGGTAAGACCATTTGAAAAAGTTTTAAGCACTACACCCACTTCCACCCATATCAACCAAAGGTGAATTATCCAACAGTTAGAATTTAATCTCTCCAGAAAGAAAAAAAAATCACTGGGATTTCTAGCCCAGTCTCTCCACAATGCAAGAATTCCCTTCCCTTCATTCTTCATAGGTGGTGACTATTCTTATTTTTTACTTTTGTGGCAGGAAACAGTAGACAATATTATGGTACAAATGATATCAAATCACTAAAGGAAAGTGAACTTCTTAAATTACACTTAGCTAAAGATGACAGAAGATAAAATTGGATCAATTTCTTGTATCATGTACTAGGCTAAATTCCAAATTGGTTGGAGATATAAATATTTTTTAAAAGAAACTATACAACTACTAGAAGAAAATATGGACGAATTTCTCTATACCATAAGAAAACTTTGCTAGCTAAGTTGCTTGAATTACTTCAAAACTCCAGATACAATTAGGGAACAGATTGATAGAATTGACAACATAAACGTAAACTTTTACAGGACAAAAAGCACCATAAGGAAAATTAAAATACAAATGACAAGCTGAGAAAAAATATTTGCAATTTCTATCACTGTGGGTTAATAAACCTAATAAAAGTGCTTGTAAAAATAATGTGTTACATATACTTATAATAACACTATAGAAAAATGAACAAGGGGTATGAACAAATAGTTCAGACAAAAATAAATACAAATTGTCCTTAATGTATGAAAATCTACTCAAACTGAGACATAATAACAGAAGTCCAAATCAAAGCTACACTGAGCAACCACCAACCACCCACCACCATACTGGCAAAAAGCCAAAAGTTTGCCACCATACTCTGTAGGCAAGGCTGTGCAAAATAAGTACACATAGACATGCAGATGGAGATGCAAAATGGTACAACTTCAAGGAGCATTCAACTGTATCCACCAAAATTTCATATGTATTTAACCTTCGACACAGAAATTCACTCTCCACACTTTTTATCATATCGTTATTTGTTGAAACAACTCAAATATGTATAATAGGGATTGGAGGGGGGCGCGTTTGTTTTTAGTTTTTGGACTGGGAATCAACCTCAGGACCTTGCACTTACCAGGCAGGTACTGTGCCACTGAGCTATATCACCGGCCCTGGGATTTTTTTTTTTTTTTTTTTTTTTTTTTTTTTTGGCAGGCGGGGGATCAAACCCAGAGCAAGCGCTTTAAGGCTGAGCTACAACCACAACTCCCATGATAGGGAACTGATTTAATAAACTAAGACTACATCTACACAATCACATAATATACAGTTGTAAAAATGCATGAGGATCTCTAGATAATGCTAGGGAATGATCTTCAGGAATCACAAAAATGGAAGGAAATTAGTTTAGTGTGCTATCATTTAACAAAAAAGTTGATATGAATACATAATGGCTTATATCTTTAAGAATAAATCTTTAAAAATCAATATTTTTCTTTAGAAAAAAGGTAACAGGAAACAGGCTAGACTACATCTTGAATTTGGGTTCATTAATGTTTGGCATAGGTATAAAATTAAATTTAAAAATTGTTAGGCCGTTCCTAAAATTTAAAAATAATATGAAACACATGAACTAATATTGAGTGGGTAACATAAAATCACAGAAAGGAATTCTTTTAAGTGACTTAATAACACAGTAATTTGACCACCCACCCATGATAGATATACTCCAAAAGTCAAATGAACTTTTAAAAAACTTAAACTTTTCAATAATATTATTAATACAATGGTACAATGGTTTCATGGACACTTTGGTTTGCACAGTTTGTTTCACAAACAAAAGCATTTGGCAGAATTTTGTTTTTGTTTGCAAACTCTGCATCAGGTGGCAAACATAAGCATGGCCATCTTTCTCACACAAACAGAACCATGGCCATCTTTTCCAAAAATCATACAACAAATTAAATGAACTGAGGTACCACTGTCACATTAAAGTAGAGTGGTGTAGCTTGGATCTGGATTGGCCCACAAAGGCCCAAGTGTTAGAGGTTGAGTTCCCAGTTTGCAGTGCTATTGGAGCCTTTAGAAGGTAGAGCTAGGGGGAGATTTTAGGTCATTGGAGGTGTGCCCTTGAAAAGGATTGCAGGATACCAGTCTCTTCCTTGCTGAGGTAAACAGGCCTCCCCACAATACACTTGTGCCATGTTGTACCGTGTAGCCACAGGCCCAAATAACAGAGCCACTTGGTTATGGACAGAAACCTCCAAAACTGTGAGCCAAAATAATCCTTTCCTCTTTTTAAAATTGATTTACTCCATGTATTTTTTACAATGGAGAGCTAATGAACACACAGAGTTATCCTAGAAATTATTCTTTTGTATGTTATAGAATAAAGTGAGTAACTGTGCTAGTGTTATCAAGAATAAGATTTCTGGTGTAGGAAAAGTGATGTACAATTATAAAAATGAAAGAGGTTTAAAAATTCTGTAACCCTAAATTTGAATTTTAAAATATCCATATTATCTGATGATATGTTGTCTCTCAAAAACTGAAAAAAGTAGTTTATAGTTCCATACATTAAAAGGGCCTCAAAACAATGACCAACCCTATACCAGTGGACACCTCAATACTAGATTGTCATGTCTGAATACCACTTTCCAAAATCTGGCGTTCTTGTAGTAATAGCTAATGCCAAAATATATATATGATTGTACAGTAAGGCTGACCATCTTTTTATACCAGAAAACAAAAAAATCCTCAAAGATTACTAGGATTGTTTGCAAAGAATTTAGGAGAATCTGAGCTCTTGTGTAAGCTGCCACTGGCCAAATTTTGCACAGAGCACCAATAAGAATAATATATACAGTGCATTGGAATTTATCCAGTTTGTTAAATATTCATGAATTCATAATGCTACAAACAAAATTCACCACTCATTGATCACCTTGATAATTAGGGAAACAGCTAATTATTCTGAAAACTAATAAATAAAGAAAAAAATGAAACCTTTAACCTTTCTTTGCTGGAAGAATGGTATTTCAGAGTAACTATGTAGTTGATGAGGCCAACTATTTTCTTTATTCATTAGTCCTTTTTTTATTCATTCAGTTTTTCATTATTTCCTCCAGAAATAAATGATTAAGTTAGAACATTAGCATTATGCAACCAACCCATAAAAAAATTATCTGATGATAATTATACAATTATAGAGAGAAAAACCAGATATTATTAATCTCTTGACAGGATTACACAGTACTACCAAGTATTCTTACCCACCAAAAAAAATCAACACTGAATCATATCAAACTTATAGGTCTAACTACCAACCTATAGGAAATTCAAAGGCAAAGGATCATCTTAAAAGCCACCATGGAGAGAGAAATATTTAAACTGTGGAAAATTCCAAAGGAAAAATGACCCTGCTTTATCAACAAATAAATTGCAAGAAAAAATGAAGGGATGGGCTTTCCATTAAAAGCAATTTAAAACATATAACAACAAAAGACTTTCCCTATTTAGGTAGGTCTGATTTAAATCAAAATATAAATAAATAAAACTATGTATATTACACAATAGAGAAATTTCAACAGTTGGTGATATTAGAGAATTATTCCTAGTATATTTGGGTATGATAATGATGTTGTGGTTGTACTTGTAGATATAGTAATAGGATGCTTGGAATTGGCTTGAAAGTAATCAGAAGGCTGGAAAATAACCAGAAGAAAGGGGGACAGATAAAATAAAATAAATCATGAGTTGCTAATTGTTGAATCTAGGTAGTGTAAATATAGAGGTTTGATACTATCTCTCTACTCTCTAAGTTAGAAATTTTCCATAATGAAAAGTTACAGAAAATAGTTCTGGAAAAAAGCATTTGTTTTTATACACTTGAATTGACTGGTACATATTTATGTGTCTCTGTTTAATATTGACATTTGTTCTCTTTCCTGCTTTGTTATAAATTCTATGAAAGAAGAAATGTGTTCTAATATCTTGTGAGTATCTACAAGGATCACCAGAGTCTAATTGTTTGTCATCATATATTAATGATCACTGGATATTGTCTGCAGTACTTAGCTATGTACAAAGACATCAAGATTATTTTGGCTCTATCATTATTTATGCTTAGGGTTTCTCATATAAGAGAAACCATGTGATATTTAAGCTTGTGTGTCTGATTCATTTCATATAACTTTCTGATCTCAACATGCATCCATTTTCCTATACATGACTCAGATTTGTTCTTCTTTAAGTCAGAGTGGTATTCCATTGTGTATACATGCTACATTTTTTATGCATTCTCCTGTTGATGAACATATAAGCCAATTGTTATGTCAATAAAGTACCTGTGATTTGAAACAAGAAACTTATTCTGTGTTACTGCTTAGATTTATTTAAATGAACTCAAAATAAGTCTCAAATTATTATATTTTTATTATTTAGAAACCAACTTTGATCCAGCAGAATGGGGGGCTAAGATAGACGACCGCTTCTATAACAATCATGCATTCAAGGTATAGTCCTTTGAAGTTACTGGATTTGGTAATTTCTCCTAATTACAAAATATTAAGTATTATAATTTCCCTCAAATTGTGAGAATTGTATAAAGTATTACAAATAATTTGTTAAAGCTTTTTACTTATGCTTCTTTGGTGAGAAACTGTTTTCTAAAGTATCAAATATAGATATTTATTTTAAGTTTAAAGATGATCAACAGGAAGAATGTGCTTGAAAGTTATAAAATCATTGCTCCATGTTTTATATTTCAAATACTTAGCAAGAGCAGATGCTCAACAAATACTTTGTTGAATGAATCAATGAATGATATTTATTTTAAAAACACTGTTAGTAGCCAGGTATGGTCACATCTGCCCATAATCCCAGTACTTTGGGAGACTGAGGCAGGAGGATCCCAAATTCCAGCCCAGCCTGGGTAACTTAGTGATTTAGGGAGACACTGTCTCAAAATAAAAATAAAAATAAAAAGGGTTAGGGATATAGCTCAGGGTGAAGACTCTGAGTTCAGTGCCAAGTACTGAAAAAATAAACTACTAGCCTAATTATTATCATTGATGTGTTACAAAAGGGTAATTAGAATTAGCAAATGGTGAAGGTACAGTTTTCTCTATAAAGCTAATCTCTTCAGAAACTAAACTTACCTTTGTCATTAGCAGTATCCTCAAATAACCTTTCTCAAACAAGATTCCTCAAAGAAAGGAAGAAAAAAAGAAAGAAAGAAAGAAAGAAAGAAAGAAAGAAAGAAAGAAAGAAAGAAAAGAAAGAAAGAAAAGGAAGGAAGGAAAGAAGGAAGGAAGGAAAGAACCCTAAATCAGAGGTGCCCATTGCACGTGGAGAATCGGTATCTTGCCTTGGCATCTAGTATGGTTCCGTTTTGTACTATCCTTGGGAGAAGTGAAAAAATTGCCACTTGAAGCATTCTCTGTGTCTGCAGTTCTGATGAACTGTGGTTGGAGAAGACTGTGGATTTACCATCAGTTGCATCAGCTGGGGTCTTGAGAGAAGTTCAGAGTCTCATTTCAAACCCCAGTTTACAAGTCAGAAGTTAAATCTTAACAAGGTCCCCAAATTTGTAGTTACATTAAAATCTGAGCACACTAGCTGTGCATAGTGGCTTGCATCTGTAATCCCAGCTTCTCAGGGGGCTGAGGGAGGAGGATCACTTAAGACCAGGAGGTCAGGGCTAGCCTGGACAATATCATGAGACCCTGTCTCAAACAATAGTAGCAATAATAAGAAAATAATAATAAAATTAAGAATACTATTCTACACAACTGAGTTAATACCATTAGACATAAGACACTAGCTTTTAATTAGTTAGAATAAAAAGGAATTAACAGTGTTCAGTTTTGATGTTCTCCAACAGATTTGGGGAATGTCCTAGACAAGTAGCTTTCAATTATTCCATGAGTTCAAAGGTGAAGTTCCATCTGTCTGTACCTGCATATATGGGTATGTTGTATCTATTTCTGTTTACCAGGTTCTCTAGGCTTCTAGGTTCTCTTGATTTCAATGTTTTATTGAAATCAAAATGATAATGTTGAAAAACATTATATCTTTGTGTTAAAAAGCAGTTTCAAGGTATTTTTCTTTTATTTTAAATTCTAAAGGCTTTAGGTGATTCACTTGCATGTCCTTAAATTCTTGTTTTATGGGTTAGAGAATTTCTTCCCATAGGTGGTGAATTACTGCACCTCTATTTTGGAGGGAGACCTCAATAGCTATATCAAAATTGGCAGAGCTGGTTTCTCTTTTTATATATAAATCATTTTCCACAGTAAAACTTACTTCTTCAGTTTTTAATCCATAAACTTCATTAAAAAGTCAACTTAACTTCACACTGTGGAGCATGATGGCATTTATTACTATTTTAGAAATTACTGGTGCCTCTTTTTTATACTTTCTTCAGAATTCCTTACCACATCTTATCAACTTTTAGTAGGAGACAATTATCTGTAGTTAAAAGTAATAAAATAACACATTCCAAAAGCAGAGAACCAACATTTTGATCAACTTCTACATCTTTCCTTGATGAAGATCAACCTCTTCATCAGAACTGCAGAACACAGAGAATGCTTCGAGTGGGGCAATTTTCTCACTTTTCCCAAGGATAGTACAAAATGGAACCATACTAGATGCCAATGCAAGATACTGATTCTCCACGTGCACTGGGCACCTCTGATTTAGGATTCTTTCCTTCCTTCTTCCTTCCTTCCTTCCTTTTTCTTTCTTCCTTATTTATTAATACTTATTAATACATATTCTTCCCTTAAGCATTTTCACTTCTTCTTCCAACATATTTTCCTTGTTAAAAGATAAATACATATTTAATTCTCCCTACTTATTAATTACTTAATTTCTAATTACTGTTAAGCAGTTTAGCCTTTATTATTTTGAAAACACTGCCTATTTGACCCTCTCCCCTCCCTCTAGGACCAGCAAATACCTGAGAAACAAGAACCTGACCAAGAAAGGCACCAGGTATCTCTGAACGTAATATTTTTCACATGTTATTGCATTTCTACAAAGAATGAGGTTGCTATGTAAAATTATATTTCAAATATGAACAAGTCTACTATCTATATTGTTAAAATTATAATTTTTCCTTCTAGGTAAACATCAATAATAAAGTAATAGTAAATATTACTATTTAATAGTAATAGTAATTAGTAAATAGTAAATATTACTATTTACTAAATAGTAAAGTAATAGGTAGATCATTTTCAGCCATGCCACTTATAACAGAAAACTCATTCTTTCCATTAAAAATAAAATCTTAGGGTTAGAGATGTAATTCAGTGGTATAGAGCATGCCTAGTGAGCACAAGATCCTGAGTTCACTCCTCATCAACCAGAAAAAAGGTAAAATGTAAAAAATATAAATAAGTAAAATCTTATTTTTGAAGGTTGTCAATGGATATAAAAATCTCCTGATGGGAAAAGCAGACAGAAGAACTTACAGTCCCAGTCTTGAGATTCATCTCCTATTTCAGGAATTTTTCACTAATTGTTATTTATCACCATCACAGTGGCAAAGGTTCAGAGGCCACAAAAGGAAAACCAAAGAGAATTTCATAGAGCAAGTAAAATGTCTTCACGCAGTGTGGCTTACTCCTCTTCCACCCATAGCCCTCTGCAAATAATGCTTTTCCATGGGCAAGTCCACCCTCGAAGTACCCACCTGTGTTCAGTATTCAGTAGTGTGTGAAAGACAGCATTCAGGAGATGATCGTGCATGGTCTACCCAACTCTATATTCACTGATATCATTTTAATAGCTTGAAGTCAGCCAATTAAGAGTAGTAAGACTATGACAAACACTACAAATCTGGGCTTGTTTCTGTTTGATTTGCTGAAGAGCTCAGTGTTAAAACACTCACTAGCAAACTACCGCCTGCATTCTTTACAGTCCAGACTCAGGAGGACCAGGCCAAGAAAGAACTCTGTACAATGCCAGAAGCCAAACTTCTGAGTCCTTTTCATGTCCTGATGTCCCAGTTTCTTACCCAGTGATTGACACCTAAAATGGACATGCCTCTCAAAGAACAATTTACTCCCCACCCAGTGAAGCACAGCTTTTTCCTATAATGTTTCCAAATTATTCTAGAATTATATCAGCACAACCAATAAGCCTAACACTGCATCAGATGCAATGGGATCAAAGAAGCAGAAAGCATGTCATTTCCTTACATCTTTCTTAGGTGCCCTTACATAGGCTTTCATGAGTTTAAGTAGGGACTTCATTGATTTCCAACTTGAGAGCTATTGCTTGTCCAACTGAGAGCATTATCTGAGAGGATTTTATACCATTCTGTTTGCATTTTTGTACCATTCTGTTTGCAAATTTCCAGAGACATATTAAAGACTGTCATTGTTATAGAGATGTGATGGGGGAAGGTTGAACAACCCAAAGGTTCATCATTAGGACATTTTGAGTGCATAGATCAAAGTACTTCAGTACAGTGGAATGCAATGTTGTCACAGAAAAATGAACAGAGTTATATAAAATAATATAGAAAAAGAAAATCAAGATATTGTTATATTGGAAAAGATACCGGCACAACACTATGATCTCATTTTTAAAATAAAAACACATTTGTATTTGTATAAGTAAAAATTTTTTATTATATATACACATATATACATACATATATATGTGAGTGTGTGTGTGTACATATGCACATTCAACCTATGGTGGTTTCCTCTTCAGAGCAAGATTTGGGAAGGTAGGGAAAACTTTACTGCGAGTAATATTTGATTGTTTAAGAGTTGTGTATCATTTTTATAGTTTAAGAAGATCTATTAAGAGCTATATATCTGTTCAGTTATATTTTTAGGATCCATGTATTTTGCTATCTGTAAATTATACCTATGCCTTAAAAAAGGAGAGGAAAAAGAATAAACTATATGCCAAAGTTCAATCAACTATGTTCAACCTGACATTACTGAAGTAAATGGATTTCTCTTTGGTATTCCACTATTAAATGTATAGTTTTGACTACCTAATCATTTAGAAATTAAAACATTAACATTTTAATCCATCTTATGTAATCAAGATTATTTCCAAATAGCTCATTTACTAATCTTAACATTTTTACCATGCTTCAAGGAATCTTACTTGTCCTTGGCCCCCTATTTTGGACCCCCAAAAAAGAAGTGGGCAATGATCTTTTATTGCAGAGATATATTAAAGACTGTCAGAATAAAGTGCCTGCTATTTTGGCATTTGCCATTTGGTACACACACAATGTGACAATATATAAAATTCCCCAGGAAGCAACAGATATCAAATAGTCACGTCCCTCAGTTAAATAAATGTATGCATATATTTTAATGGCATCAAAAATACAGGTTGTTTAAAAGGTCTTTTACTTTTTTTCCTTTGAACAAAGGAATCTTCTGAGGAAAATAAGGAGGAAATTGCTGCTGTCAAAATCCAAGCAGCCTTCCGGGGACACATGGCCAGAGAAGAGATAAAGAAAATGAAATCAGGAAAGCCTGAAAATGGCAAAGAAGAAAATGAGTGAGAACACTGGTTTTACCCCCAGAAAACATGAAAAAATAAGCCAGACCATCAAACTTGTTGTAGTTGTCATTTTTTCCTTAGTCAGAGAGATTTGATGTTGTGAAATACCATTTGTTGCTGCTGTAAAAATCTGTTGAGCATTTGTTCAATAAACATGCCACCGAAACATACCACTTAAAGATTTCTCTGAAATTCTGAGGATTCTTGCTACTTGTCCCGGGTCTATGGATGGATACTTCTGGATTTAGCTATCAAACTGAAGAAGTTTTATGGTTTGACCATTATTTAACAAATAAATCCTATCACATCCCTGGAAAATGGTTCTTTAGCTCTGGTTTCACTCTAGTGATAAAGAATTTTTCTGCCTTTCAAATAAAGTCTATATAATTTGTATGTGTGTTAGGTGTTGGCAGTTAAACCTAGCTCCTTCAGCATGTTAGGCAAGTATCCTACCACTAAGTCATCTTCTGAGCCCCTAATTTTTGGATACATAAAATTATTAGAAAGATAAGGTAAGTAAAAAGTCTGCCTCCCTTTAAAACTTGGATTTTCATTTGTCATGCATGTATTTAATCATTTACTGGAAATGTATTGAGTACCATTCATGTGCTGGGATTAGTAGTGAATATTTGTGCTTTCATTCATGTAGCTTACAATTCTTACTGTCTTACTCTCCAAAACCATATAGAACAAGATAATAACATCACACTAGAAAATAACAGAAGCTCCTAACAATCTACTTTCTTGTTCAGCAAACAGTTCCTATTATGGCTTATATCTAGATGTCCCCCCAAAGCCTCATGTGCTCATAGGTGGGGCTTTTGGGAGGTGGCTGGATCATGAGTGTGTGATAGTGGATTAGGGATTTGATAACTGGGTTGGCCCCCTGAAGTGGTTTAGCATGGTTCTGGGTATGCATAATAGGAAGGACCACCCTGACTGTGGGTGGCACCAACCATTGGGCATGTAGCATGACTAGAATAAAAAGGGAAAGGAAGGCTTACTGATTTCTGCCATGGACTGTTTCTGCTCTACCATGCTGCCTTGCCTTAGAGCCAGCCAACTATGAACTGAAACCTCTACAAAGTAGGAGCTAAAATAAGCCTTTCGTCCTTTTACTTATGGGTGTCAAGTATTTTGTCTCAGCAACAAGAAAGTAAGACAGTCCCCAAGTCTTTTTAGTATATAAATGGTAATATACAAACTCAGAGGCCTTTTATCTCTGTTAATTTTTCAATAAACCAAGTCCCAAAGGCCTTATTTTTAGAAAATTAAGTCATTCCTTTTTGAAGCCTTACCATTCTTGATTGTCCCAGAAACTGGAGATTAGACCCAAGAGTGCAATTTACCTTCCTAATGCAAAGGAGAGAAAATGGAGTTTTAACATTTAATTAACGCTATTGTCTACTGCTATAATGACATAGCATAATCCAGAAGTCTTAGGTAATATCCTGGCTGGTTCTTTTCCCTACTTACAATACATAGGTGTCCCCCACTTTGGTTCTAGTATTAATTCTCTCTCAGTGCACAGTGACATAGCCATTGTTCCCCAAATCTTAGCAACAAGTCTGAGTAGCTCAGTCCTGGGGAGCTTCTCAAATCAGCCAAGTGTTACACCATAACAAGGGCCATCCTCCAAACCCTTAAATCCTAGCCTGAGGCTCAGAATCAAAGCAGTTTTGTTTCTGGACCTTCCTTGTCACTGTGCCTTTATCAGGTTCTACAATGGAGATTGTCCAGGTGCTCCTCTCTCCTCAAACACAGATTTCTCACCCAATCTGTCAATCTTGTGGCAGTCACTCTTTAATCTCTATGCACCTCCAAGCAGCCTTCCTGCTACCAAGGTCTTGCTGCCACTGGAGAGCTGCACACTAACTAAATTCCAAAGTCTAATTTTAACCCACCCAAAGTTTAACCTGCTACCAGGGTTAGAGAAGGAAAAAAATCAATTCTTTCCCAGGATTTCAGCTGCTTACTTCCCTATTCCATTCAAAGCACAAGCCTCCAACCCTTTTCCCCCTTGAATAAAGCCATCTGTCTCAGAGGATTATACAAGTTGCCCAGAATTAATACAGAGACTTAGCTTCCTTGTTCTGGAGAGAAGATCAGGAGAGAAAAATGTTCCTAAGTGAGTGTATAACAAAAAAATAGGTATGTATATGCAGCAACTCCCCATGATGAATATAATCATTATGTACTGCAAACATGTACACTGGTACCTCAGTTCACAAACTCAGTTCTTTCCATGATTCTGGTCACAAACTGAACTGGATGAGAATTAAATGAAATTTCCCCATAAGGTCAACATTGAAATTAATCATGAAAGATAAAAAATTTTTTAAAATTAAAAAGACACCAATTAGCATTTCCATAATTCTGTTATATACATAAAGTGATTAACACTATGCTTTCCGTGTCAGTTCACACACACACACACACGCACACACACCCCTAGTGGTGGTGGTGCTGTCTAAGGAAAAGAAAAGCAAGTAGAGCGCAATAGGTGTGGTATTAGGACAGTACATACGATTAACGCGTTATTAAAACTTAGCTGGTTTTCTTTTCATCCCATCTTTTGCTGTTTCTTAATCTCCTTCATGTGTTACTCTGGAACTCCCTAACCACTAGACATTAAAGGGTCCCCAGACTTTGTCCTTGAGCCCCTTTTCTACATTCTTTTGTTGATTTCATCCAGTCTCATGACTCTATAAACTATTTCCATACTGATAACTCCTAGACCTTTCTGCCTTTCACCTCCAGCCTTATAGAGCCAAATGCCTACTGTCTTACTTTTCTCATTGCTAAGACAAAACACCTGACATCCAAAGTTAAAGAGGGAAAGGTTTATTTAGCTCACGGTTTGTGGAAGTTTCAGTCCATAATCAGCATGCTCCAAGGCAGGGTGGCAGATGGCAGAGGGGCAACAGTTCATGGCAGCAGAGCAACAAGAGAGCAGAAAGAGAGGACAAGCCTCTTTCTGTCCCTTATATTGTATGCAGGCTACCAACCCAAGGGCAGGTATAGCACTCACACACTTAATCCCAGCACCCTTAATCCCAGTTTGCACTATAAATCATTCATACTCTAGATTCAGCTACCTCAAAAAGAGGGAGACATCTAGACACAGACCATAACATTCCTCCCCTGGACCCCAAAGACCCATGTACATTCCTTTATGAAAAGGGTATTTAATCCATCTCTAAGAGTTTCTGAATTCCTAAGAGTTTCAGCATTGCTGAAAAGACCAAGTCCCAAGTTTCCTCTGAGATTTGGGGCACACTCTTAGCTATGAGCCCCTATATAAATGAAAAGAACATTAAACTTGTCCAACATTCAATGGCACAAGACAGACATTTCCATTCCAAAAGTTACAAGCAGGGGTCATACAAAGGAGTGGGATCAAAGCAAATCCAAATTCAGCAGGGCAAACACTAAGTCCTGTCCTTCCATGTGCATCATCCAAAGCAATCTATGCCAAGATGTGATCTCCAAAATGTTTAGGTGGCTCAACCCCTACAGCACTTCTGGTTGTAGCTCCCATGGCTTCTCTCTTGGGCCCACTCTTCTCCCTCCTTGCAGTTTTCCTCAGATGGTCCACATTCCTGGCTTCTCCAAACTTCTGGGGTCCCCACTGCACCTTTGACTTCACACTCACAGCTTCACACATTGCCCTCTCAGCGGCACACTGCCTGGCCCCCCAGGCCTTCTGAAATTGGGATGGAAGCCTTTCTGACCTCACAACTCTTCCATTTTGCATGCACCTAAAATAAGCACCACATGGATGATGTTAAGGTCTGCTGCCAGCAGGAACAGTAGCTAGGCTTCCCTGTCTTGAATGCAGAGGTTGAGTACTTGGATTGCTGAGCACTCTGAATCGAATTCTGAGGAACAAATTCTCTGAGCTGCAGCTTTCTTCTCAAAGTAGTCTTTCACATTTGCAGTTTTGAGGCTTCAGAAGGTGGAGTCCTGCTGCTTCTTGTGATGCCCTCAGGTGCTGTTATTTCTCAGCAATCAAGATGTCCCCTGCCCTATCTTTGCAATTCACCACTTTACTGGAGCTTCCTTTCTGACCAATTCAAAACATTTTAAATCATTCTGCTGCACTCTTTGCTCTTGATTCTCAACATAAATCTGACTAAAATCCCCCAAGAGTAGCCATATCAATTCCTCAACAGTAGGCTGCCTGACAATCTCTTCTGCCTGATTAGTCTGCAGCCCTTAATCTCAGTTTCAGGCAAAGTCTGAACATGAGCAAAATTCAGACAAACTTTTTGGCAAGGCATAATACACATCATCTGGAGTCCAACAACCAATGCATTACTTCTTCCCAGCAGAAACATTCCAAGCCTGTTCTTTGCTGGCAGGATTCATATCAGCCTTCTGGTCTTCTGAGATCTGACCAGAATCTCCAGTACAGTATAGCTTAAGGTGTTCCAGCTCTGCTTTTTCAGCCAGCATCCTAAACCTTTCCAAACTCTTCCCACAAGCCATTTCCAAAGGTTCCTGAATCACATGGTCAGGTGTAGACACAAGAATAACCCCACTTCTCTGGTACCAAATTCTGTCTTAGTTACTTTTCTCATCTCTGAGACAGAATACCTGACACCCAAAGTAAAGGAAAGAAAAGTTTATTTATCTCACAGTTTGTAGAGGTTTCAGTCCATAATCAGCTGCCTGCAAGATGTGACATATGGCAGAGGAGCAACAATTCACGACAGCAGAAGACAGTGAAAGCAACAAGAGAGTAGAGAGAAAGAACAAGCTTTTCTGTCCATTATATTGTATGCAGGCCACCCACCCTAGGGCAGGTCTAGCACTCAGATTCTCAGTCCCAGCATTGCACTAGGAATCAGTCACACACTCTAGATGTGGCTACCTCCAAAAAAAACCCCATCTAGAAGTACATGAGATATTAGGGAGACAGCTAAACACAAACCATAACACCTACCTAACATCCCTATTTGGATATCTATAGGTTACTCATGCCCCAAACAGCTCTTGACATTGACCCTCAAATCTGCAATTTCCTTAATGTTTCTCATGACCACTCCATTCTTCCATTTTCCTGGGCAACAATCTCAAATCCATCCTTAACTCCTTATTTTCTCTTCCAACCAATATACAATCTATCACCAAAACCTGTGGGCTCAAACTGTACAAATACACCCAGAAGATAAAA